TCTTGGCTCTTTATCTTGTTATGTGGCTTGCAATGTGTTTATTCGCGATAGACTTCATTGAGTTAAAGCAGATGACTTGGCAGTCAAAGGAAGCTTAAGTCAGGCACTTGAATTACAGGAAGAAAAGCCAACCGTCAGGACTCACACTGCACACAGACACTTGAGCTCCACGAGGCAAGGCTAGGCAAAACAGGCAGGAACAGAGGGGAAGATGGGAGACAGAGAAGGGGGCCAAGGCTTTGTCTAGGTGAAGAGAAAGGCAAGCTGCCTGGAAGAGGGGATATTTTTGCTGGGTCTTGAAGGATAAATAGGAGTTCTCCCAGGTAGAAGAAAGAACAAACCTGTATACATTACCCCAGGCTAGGACATAACTGGATTCATGAATATCTATTATATACCCAGACTGTATAGTTCTGAACCAACTGTACTTTCCCAGGTAAATATCGTCATATCCCCAAACTACAGATGGAACTGAAGGCACAGAGATATTAAGTGACTTACCCAAGGTCACACAGCAGCTAAGTGGGGGAGCTGGGGCTGGAACCCAGGCTATCTGGCTCTGATTCCAGGCTCTTGATTGCTTTGTCACCCTGCTTTATTAAATATTTCTTAATAGATCTCTTTAATTTTACTCGTCCTAGAATGCCTTTGGGCCTCTCCACGGAGGGCGTGCTCAACATCTGTCTTCTGGCAGAAGAAAGTCAATATTGACCGGGTTAGTCAATATGTCCCCACCCTCTGGAAACAGCCCAGTAACAATGAACTTCTGCAATATTGAAACATTAGATAGGACCAGTGTTGGGGGTGGGCCAGGTTTGGGACGGAATGAAGGGTGACCGTGAAGGGTCATGAGCAGACCACCCAGCAGGGCTTGATCCTGTTGCTGGTTTTGCATTGATTTGATACTCTTTCATAAATCAGGACTATTATTTTCTTCAGCTCCTTGTCATTGGCTCACAAAGTCCAGTGTTACCCTGAGCTTAAGACTGTCAAAACTCATGTGAATTAATGGTTTTGCACCTGACAAGTTACAGGTGTGCTTCCGGGGGCCATCAGACATGACAATGTTGGGAGCAAAGGGAATTACTTGGGGCCACATCTCTTTAGGGTTTCTTCACTTACCCTTTTGCCATGTCCACATCCCTCCTGGGACACTGATATTTATTTAAATAAAGTCAGTTCTTTTTTTTTTTTTTAAGTGTTTGAGAGAGAGAGAACTAGCAGGAGGGGCAGAGGGAAAGGGAGAGAGAATCTCTAGCAGACTCCACGCTGAGCATGGAGCCCGATGCAGAGCTCAATCTCAGGACCCTGAAATCGCGCCCTGAGCCAAAACCAAGAGTCGGACACTTAATCGACTGTGCCACCCAGGCGCCCCTCAGTAAAGTCAGTTTTTAAGCTTAAATGCATATATTTATAAAGGGAGCTTTCTAACACTTGTAGTGATGGTATAATAAGAATAGAAGGACAAGGAAAAATTCTTGGGGGATTTTTGGAAGGAGCCAATGAATGAATGCATAGGAGGTGCTCAAGAAACACAAGCCAGGTTCAAGCCCGTTGCTCTGGCCAGTTTGGAGGATTTAACCAGGGAGGAGGCACCATGAGCTGTAGGAACAGAGCAAAGTACAGGAGGTGGACCAGGCTTGACCCTCTCTCTCTTCCCTCTTTCTGCCAGGTAACCGCTCCCCGGGAAGCCATGACAGAAGCGGGAAAGCTGCCCCCACCACTGCCCCCACGACTGGACTGGTTCGTGCAGACGCAGGTGGTTCAGCTGGCCCAAGAAGGGGTCCCTGCATGGTTCCACGGTGCCATCTCGAGACAGTAAGGACACACACACACCTTCCACCCTGCCCTTCACCCTCTTTCCTTGTCTGCCCCCACCTTGGGCAGATTTTCTGCAGAATTCTGGGCTTGGCTTGGTGAAAAGACCTCTGAAGTCCCGGGCAGGAGGGGACTCAGTGTGTGACCAGGGCCAGTTACTTCCCATCCCTGGACCTCAGCTCTCACTGTACCAGTGGCCACCAGACCAGCACTGCCAGGGACCCATCCCCCAAGGCCAGGTTTCCGTAATCAGTGATGGCAGGATGCAGCCTCTGAATCCTTCTTAACACAGTGTCCCAAACAGCTGCTCTCAATCCATCAGGGACATGACCTACGTGCACTTTCTACATTGGACTGAGTTCTGAGGACATGAACAAACTCACCTCATTAGTCACCTCCTTCGTCCTAAATGAACGAAGAGAACGTCTATGGCCACCGTTAGCATGTAGGGACATTGAGAGAGCGTTGTGAAAGCCACAGAGAGGGCGAATTGGCCACTTTCTCTGAGTTCTGGGGGGCGGCGCCCCTAAGAACATACTGTGAGCCACATGTTGCCATTTTAAAGTTTTTAGTAGCTATATTAAAAGAAGTAAAAAGAAACAGGTGGAATTAATTTTAATCCTATCTTTTCTTCAACCCAGTATATCCAGGATATTATCACTTCAACATGAGTACTGAAAGCTCATCCATGAGACAGTATACGTTCCTTTATTTTGTAGTAAGTCTTGAAAATCTGGTATCCTACGCCAAAAGCACATCTTAATTCGGACCAGTCACATTTTAAGTGCTCAGTAGCTACACGTGGTCAGTGGCCTCTGGAGTAGACAGCTTGGGTCTCAAGTCTCCCCATCTTGTCCTATAGAAGGCCACCTTCCTCTCTGTGAGCCCATGATAACAATAGTAATGATGATAGTGAATACTAGTAATAATTTGGCGAGCAGTTACCAGGTATGAGGGTATTTCAGGCATCAGAAGAAAGTCTGTCCTGGGGTCAAGGTCATCAGAGGCCTTCTGCCACTGATGGGAACACCCCTGTGCCTGAACATCCCAAGGTCTGAAACAACAACAACAACAACAACAAAGGGTTTTAGGTTTGTTCAGTCCTGGGATGATGGGTGAACCAGGAGTCTGACCAGTATGCTGGGCAGCTGGATCACAGCCTTCTCCCTCCTTGTGTGTGTCCTTCCAGGGACGCCGAGAATTTGCTGGAGTTACAGCCACTGGGATCCTTTCTCATTAGAGTGAGTCACAGCCACGTGGGCTACACACTGTCCTACAAGTAAGGCCAGGGAAGGTGCAAGAGGGCTCTAGGGCTTCCTGGGAGGAGGCAAGGGCTGCTTCATACCACAACTGCTCAGAGAGCAACTGGTGTGAAGTTCTGGCCAAATCTGGCTGCAGTGAGCAGCTGCAGGTCCGGCTGTAACCAGCAGATGGGGGTTGGTGGTAACAGCCTGTGTGTCTGAGAACAGGGGCTGCTGGGAGCCCAAGAGTGGCTACTTCCCTCCCCTAAACCCCTCCCGCGCCCCGCCCCCATCCCCTTCAACCGTGTACTTGGCAACTCTCTGACTCCACCCGGAGGCACATGTTAGGGAAACTCAGGGCAGTCCAGCTCCTTAAGGCCTCAAAACCTGATCTGGTGTCTCACAGGATTCAGCAACACAAAGTACTTTTCAAAAGGATTCCAGGCCAAAGGAATAAAAAAATCCAGTGACGACTCCACTGCAGAGTTCCCAACCATGGGAAAAGCTTAAACCCTGAGTCACACAGTCAGAAAGGCTTGGGGCTGCCATTTATATGCTGTGTGACCTTGAACGAGTTACTCAGCCTATCTGTGCCTCCCCCCCGAGTCCTCATCTCTAATATAGGAATGCTAAAATTAATTCAAAGTCTTGTGAAAATTAAATAAGAGATAGTAAGCACATGGTGGGCCATTAATAAATGCATCCATTCATTAACAGAGCATTTATTGAGGACCTGCTGTGTGTCTGGTGCACAGACTTAGCCTGGGGCCGGACTCACATTTTCACTGTCATCACTTCTATTCATCATTTGACCCTAGCCAGGCACCGAACTAAGCTTTTATCTGCAGTAGCTTATTCCATTTTCATGAGAAATCCTGAGGTCAGCCTTAGTTGCCCCACGTTACAGACAGGGAAATTGAGGCACAGTGTGGTTTAGTGGCCTACCAGTGTCACGTGGCAAAAACATGCAGAAGGCTACTGGGAACCTGAACAGTAGGGCTGCAGCCTCCTAGCCCCAGCAGTGTTGCCACAGAGCCCAAAGCTGCTGCCGCCACTTCATGGTGAAGCTCTTGGATGACGGGAGCTTCGTGATCCCCGGAGAGGAGAAGGCGCACACCTCGCTGGACGCCCTGGTCACCTTCCACCAGCAGCAGCCTGTGCGGCCGCACAGGGACCTGCTGACTCAGCCCTGTGGGCAGGTGAGAGTGGGACCCCGGTGGGCCATAGCCACCCTCGCAGGGGCTAAGCCCCCTGACTCATTTTGTTCCCGCGCTCCCCATTCAGCCTCTTGGGATTCTGTCACTTTCGTGACCCCTGCCCTCCCTCCCACGGCCCCACCCCTCCTGGTCTTGGTTCCCTGCCTCACCCCAGCCCCCCAGGCTAATTTGTTACAAGGGTTCCTTTGGGGGGCTATATAACCTTGGCTGATCTATAGGAATAGTGTATCTCCTTATAAGGCTCATGGCGGGGGATGTGGGGGGTGGGGAGGAACAGCGGGTGAGGGAGGTGGGCGGGTGGTCCTAGCTCTCAGAAGCTACTGTGGGAGGGGCATGCTTCCATACAAGGTCTGTGGGCAAGGCAGTTCCTGAGCCCCGCCTTCTAGGGTTTGTCTGGGACCACCCCATCTCCCTCCTTGGGGTTGAGCTGCAGGTTCCCTCTGCCCCACAGAAGGATCCAGAGAACTTGGATTATGAGGATCTCTTCTGTTACGCCAATGCATTGACTGAGGAAGTTGCCAGCCCCGCCCATGTCCCCAGGGAACATCAGAATCCTTCCTCTTGTCCCAGGGCTGCACCTGAGGAGGTATGTGACAGAAAGACTGGCACCTCCAACACAGGGGAGGGGCAGGAGCGGAGGTGGCCAGCAGCTGCCAGAGGAGACTTTCTAGAGTGAAAATTAGATCCTACAGCTCCAAGTATAAAACCTTCCAGTGATTTTTCAAGACACTGCAATTAAAATCCCAACTGTGACCTCAGCTACTCCTCGTGCTCATCACCAGTCCACCTCCAGCCCCTCTGCTATCCTTTCTGTTGTTCACATACATCAAGCTAGCCTCAGGACCTTTGCATATGCTGGTCCCTCCTCAGGACCGCTGCACATGTTGGTGCCACCCACCTCAGGGCCTTTGCACATGCTGTGTGTGCTCTGCCCCCGGATTTCCTATGCCTGGCTTCTTTCTTCAATTCTTCAAGTGTCTCCCTCCCCAGACTGAAAGTCGTCCCCTCTGCATTCTCCATCACCTCACCCTGTTTATTCACTGCAGGGCACGCCTCACAATTTAAAAAGTCTTTTTGTGGGTTAAAAGTTTATGTGCGGGTTTTCACGTTTCCTGTCTGCCTCCCCTATCAGACTGTGAGCTCTGGGAGGCCTGGGAATCTGTCTGGCTTATTCCCCCTATCTTGTTCATCTGTCTGCCTCTCCTCCCCTCAGAGAAGACCTGGCACAGAGAAAGTGCTCAATGAATGAGTCTGTGGAGTAGATGAGTGAATAAATTAATGAATCCCACCTTCTCAGGGCTGACTGGACCTTCAGGAATCCCTAGGCTAGGTGTCCTCCATGCCCCTCACATGGCAGGGAAGTTCTGACAATAGTGGAAGTGAAACGGGCTGGTAGGATGAACAATGTGGGTGTGGGGCTAAGCGGTGAAGGGAACAGGGAAGACCTGGAGGAGGTGGCATGGACCTGGGACACGGAGGATAAGGAGGAGTCCGTCACACACAGAGATGCAGGGAGGGTGTTTCAGGCAGAGAAAAGAGCACATGCAAAGGTCCTGAGGCTCAGTGTATTTGGAAAACAAAAGAACAACAAAAGCCAGTGTGTGGATGGAGTAGGGTGAATCAAAGGGAGGTCGTTGGGAGGTGAGGGGCCAGGATCAGCAGGAGCCAATCATGCAGGGCCTTGGGGCAGGGTGAGGAGCTGGCGTTCTATGCCAGGTGGGCAGGGGGAGTCGCCATGAGGGAGCCCGTGGCTGCCAGCTGCAGGAGGGGCTGCCTGGCGGCAGTGGCAGAGGTGACAGGAAAGAGGCAGGGAGTCCAAGTGGGAGGGACCAGAAAAGGATCTCTGGGGGTGGAGCAAGAAGAGGATATTGGAGACATTTTAGAAGGGAGCCTGCTGACGGCTTGGAGGTGGGGGTGAGAGGAAGCAAGGTGTTGTCATGGTTTGAGTCCCTGGGCCCTCCATTATTAGAGAGGTGATCCCAGGATGTGCCACTAAGGGAGCGGGGAAGTGGGACAGGAGAGGGCAGCCCGTGAAGGGTGTGTTAGGGAGCAGGTTCCCCTGTGGGCAACCAGGGCTTGGTCTCCCTCGGGAAGGCTGGGACTCTGCGTGGGACATGCACTTTAGTTATCCCACCTTAGGGTTGAGGAGTTGGGGTATTGATCCTCCATCTTCCATTAGGCCTTGGTCAAGTGCTGTTCCTGGGAGATTTTAATTCTCTGGCACTTCTGGCCTGCCATGGGTCCAGAGAAGGACCCCAGGCAGAGTCCCCACTGCTGGCATTTGGGAGCGGAGCTGGGGGCACTGAGCGCTCAGGGCAAAGGAATATGGATGGGGCATTGTCGGCATCTGCCCCAAATGTCACCTGAACAACCAAGTAGATCAGGGCCCGAGGACCACATCTGGCCTGTTTCTGTATGGCCCACAAGCTAAGCAGCTTTTATGTTTTTGAGTGGTTGAAAAAAATAAAAATAAAAGTAGTATTTCATGACCCGTGAAAATCAGATGAAAGTCGGATTTCCACGTCCATAAAGTTTTATTGGAACTCAGGCACACTCACTCGTTGATGTACGATCTCTGTTGTTTTACAGCAGAGACTGTATGACCAACAGACCTGAAAAGATTTGCTCTCTGGCACTTTATGAAAAGAGTTTGCCAGTCCCTGGGGGAGATAGTGAAGCTGTTCATGGGGATGGGAAGGGGGCATGGGATCAGGTTTGGGGGCTCACCTGGGGTCCTTCTCACCCTCCAGATGTCTGAGTGGGACCCACGTCCCAACCTCCAGGGCAGATTCAGAGCTTTGGTGGGTGGGACGGCCCCAGGTCTCACCCGCTCTGGGTTTCAGACCTCCGCGAGGCCGGTCCTGCTCCATCACCCAAGGGGAAGGAAGCCACCAGCAGAGATGGACAGAGCTTCCACGGAGGAAGCCACTTCCTCCTGCCCCCCAAAAGCTCCTCTTGAGAAGGCTTGCCAGAAACTCTGGAGGAACCTCAAGATGCTCCCCCAGACAGGCAAGAGGGTTCAGCAGCAGCTGACATCCCACCTGCCTTCTACGAACTTGTCATCACTCTGGAGTGCTGGGCCACCGGCAGTGACACACAGCTCGGGGACCAGGCCAGGTGACGCACACTGGGAAGATAATGTCGACACAGACCGCTCTGTGGCCATGTCCCTTGCAAGCCCCTCGCAGCCCCAGGATCTGAGAGGCAGAGCTGACCCCTCCAGGAAGGTCTCAAGATTGGCCAGCTGGAGCGAGGCAACCCCGAGGGTCAAGGGTTGGCACCAAGCAGTAGTGAGGGTCCTGTCCCCAAAACTGTCCAAACCAGAGACAAAGGACTTGGCAGAACCCCAGAAGGACTGGCTCCCCGAGGAGTACCGCCCACCGCCACCCTTCGCCCCTGGGTACTGTTAGAGAAGAGCTTTGCCCTGGCTCTGGGGGCTGCTCACACTGGACCCCTTATTGTCTACCCACCAGTCCTCAGGAACCTGAGAAATGTAATAAAGACATCGCTTGGGTCTGGTCCTACAACTGCCGATCGGGTGACCTGGTTATGTGAATAATAATTATCAGTTACAGCAAGGGTCTCGGGCACCTACTGTGTGCCAGGCCCCATGCCAAAGCCTCCAAGTTCCCTATTTCTGTTACACCTCTGAGCAGGCCCAGTAGATAGGCTCATGCTGCATACTTTAAAGAAGAGACTAAGGGTCAGAGAGGAGGAGAGGCATGGCCAAGGTCACCTAGCTAGAGGGTGTCAGTGCCAGGATTTGAAACCCGGTCAGTTGGAGCTCTTTGGCCACATCCTCTGCACCTGGCTCAAGTCTAAGTACATCCTTGCCTATAAACAGAGCTGTTCACACCTTCCTCCTGGGGTTCTCCTGCAAATGAGGGAGGTGAGACTTGGAGAGGGCTTGGCACACTCACGACACCAACTTCAGAAGCATGGGAGCCCCTTTAAAGAAAGAGAGGCAGCCCAGGGTCATGGTTAGCAGTGGGTTCTGGGGGAAATCCCAGGTCACATGGCCGTGTGACCTCTAGTGAGTCACTAGGCCTCTCTAGGCTTGTTTTCTCACCTGGAAAGTGGGAAGAAGAGCAGCTCGTCTTTCTCAGGATGAACCAACTGGATGCACATAAAACCTGAGGCTTTGGCTCACAGTAGGTGCTTAATAAGTGGAGGTTAGGGTGGGAGTGGGTGCTCTAGAAATGATGCACAGTGGAGGTGTCTGGGAACGTGCCTGGCAGCTAGTTTCGATTGCAGGAATGACCACTCCCTGGACTGACTGGACCTATAGATGGGCCCCAGGCTGACCCACAGGTGGAGTGGGTGTGGGGCTTCTCAAATCTGCAAGGTGTAGATGTCTGGGATCTGGAAAGAGGTGGGCCTGGGTTCAAGGCTGCCTTTGCAGATGACATGAGGTATGGCCTTGGGCAAATCACTCTGTTCCCTCTGAAGTGTGATTGCTTCTCACTCACCCCACTGGGATGCCATAGGCAGCCAATGCAATGGCAGAGAGGTGCTTCATAAACTGTAAAGTACAGTGCCAGCCTCAGTGAATGACATTGCTGCCCCCTCCCTCAGAGGCCTCCTCTGGCTGTGCTAATGAATGAGCACGGAGTCAAAGCTTGGTCCCCTTGAGCAGCTCAAGATCACATGGGCCTGATCGCCACATCTGGTCTCTGTCCACCAAAACTCATTGCTACCAAGGCACTTCCAGCCCTCATGGTGGACAGAGGTCTAGAAGTCAGCCACTTCCTTGTATAAATGAGGGGGAGATCACGGCTCACAAAGGGTGCGGCCACACCCAGGGTCACACAGTGAGGGCAAAGGTGAGATCCCAGGCTTCCTCTCTCCCATCTGGCAGGTTTACGAGTGAAACACACGTCCTCCAAGCAGACGTGACTCTGACGTGTGTTTATTCCCAGAACCCAGGGAGACCGGATTCCACAGCGGAGTGAGGGGTCACCCCGTTCTCCTCTGACCCGGCTTCTCCGTGGTGTGCTCAGATGCGGATGTGGAAGGTGCTGTGTGCAAAAAGAAATGGAGTCAGTCATCAGGCAGAGAGGGTGGCCTTCCTTCGTCCCCCCCCCACCTCCCTGAACTCTCCTGCAGGGAGTCCCTGAGACAGGCAAGGAACCACAGGAGGAGATGGATGCCCTCAAGAACCCCAGGCTGTGGCCCCCCCCTGGTCCCCACAGGGGTGGAAAGCACACCTCTTTGGATCTGAGTTGACACTCCGGCTCCACCCCAGACTTGCTGTGGGACTCTTAAGTGAGTGGGTACCCCTTCCCGGGCTTCAGTTTACTCCTCTGTAAAATGGGGATAATAGCCATCCTTCCTGCATGGGGCTGTAGTGAGGGCTAAGGGGGCTAATGCACAGGGTGCTGTCGCCCAGAGATGCTGTCCTCGGTAGGGTTCATTCAATTGTCGTTATTCATGTCTCTGTCTGCTAGGAGACCAGCCACGCTTCTCCAGGGAGAGGAGGGGGGGGCCCTCCGTGCATGTCAGGATGCCACCCATAATAACACCCACAACAGCAACCCCAGCACACAGATACTGAGCAGCTACTTTGTGCCAGGCGCTGCTCTAAAGTCTTTCCATGTACTAACTCGGGGGTCAGCCAACTTCTCCTGTAAAGAGCCAAATGGTTGATATGTCCAACTTTGTGCAAGGACTCAGCTGGGCCTTGTAGCTCGAAAGCAACCGTGGCTAATACATACACAAGCAGGCATGGCTGTATGCCAATAAAATCACTGATGGACACAGAAATTTGAATTTCACATCCATTTCATGTGTCATGGAGTATTATTGGTCTTTAATCTTTTCCCCGCCATTTAAGAAATGTAAAAACCATTCTTAGCTCACAGGAGGTACAAAAACAGGTGGCTGGCCACCCCCTGTATTAACTCGCTATCAGCCCGACTGTGGGGGCTCTGATTCTCCCCAGGACTGCCAAGTACAGTTGTACACCCTGTTCACTGCAAAATGTTCAGGCAAGAGAGGGCTGAAGACCAGCCATGTTCCATTCACCCAAAGAGCTGCATCCACCCAAAGGGGTTGCCCATGGGGTCCCCAATTATCCCCATTTTAAAGATGCAGGGACTGAGGCCAGGAAGGCTGGGAAAGTTCTCTAAGGTCACAAATGAATGAACAGAGGAACTTTCACAAACAGAGCCTGCGAACTAGTTTTGTAGGAGCTGCGCTCAGACATGGAAATGGATTGTGCAAAGTGGCGAGGAGTGTCACACCTGAGGAAGTCGGGTGCCCGCAGGATCATGTTCTGGAAGTCTTCCAGGGAGAGCCGCCCATCATGGTCGCCATCGGCCTCATCTAGCACCTTCTCGCACACCAGGCTCACCTCCTCAGCGCTCAGCTCCCCCCGCGTCAGCTTGGTCACTGTCTGCTCCAGGTCCCATGCACAAATGTAGCCGTCATTGTTAAAGTCTGTGCAGTGGGATGGAGGGGATGTGGAGTGGAGGCACAGCGGGGGACAGGCAGGCTGGGCCTCTTGTCCCCATGTTACAGAGGAGGAAACTGAGGTGCTGGAGAGATCCCAAGACCCTGGGGTAATGGCTGGGTCTTGCTTTGGAATTGGGCAGAGTCCTGCTGGGAGGTCATTCATTCACTCCACCAGTATCTATTGAGCACCTACTATGTGCCAGGCATACGTGACTGTTTTTCATCTATTCATTCAACAAGGATTTAGGGAGCGCCTACTATGTTCCAGGCACTGTGATAAAGTTTCGTTCATTTGACAGGTTTTTAGTGAGCACCTATTGTGTGCCAGGTGCTGGGATAAATTTTCATTCATTCGGTCAATCAACAAGTACTTATCGAGCACCTCCTTTTTGCCAGGCATGAGAGACAGATGGGGAAGAAAACAGGTAGTGTTGCTGCCCTTGGGTCTCATCAGAGATAAATCAATGAGAAATGAACGGATTATGAACAGAAATTAAGCAGCACTGCTCCGTGCTGGGAGAGAACTGGGATGTGGGGTGGAGAGTGATTGAGGGTGGAAGCTGCTTTTGACCTAGACTTCAAGGTGAGCAGGAGTCAAGGGAAAGGTATTCCAGGCAGAGGGCACAGCAGAGGAGAAGGCCCGGAGGGAGTTAGAGTTTGGTGTGCTGGAGTTAGAGGGAGGCCCGTGTGGCTGGAAAGAAGTAAGTGAGGGGATGAGGTCAGCAAGTCCCAAGGTGGGGCGAAGCCCCCGGGAAGACATCTGTGACGGCAGGGCAGCCCCCGGCCCCAGGCCTGGTCTTGTTCTCCTCCCCACCCCACCCCACGCTCCCCCACCCCGGAGCCCTGCACGCACCATAAATTTTAAAAGCATAGTAGGCTTTGAGGTCGCGAGGAGCCATTTCACTCATCACGGAAAACATGTCCAGGAAGTTGTCCAAGGTCATGTGCCCGTCCCCGTCCTCAGAGAACACCTGGGCAATCCTCTGGCGGAACGGGTTGTCCTGGGGACAGGAAGCAGAGAGGCCATCCCGGACCGGGGACTCAGGGCTCCATATGGAATCGCTCTCCGCACCCACCTTCCTGAAACCTTCAAGTACCCACCCCCCCTTCAAACTTCCTCCCGCCCATGGTCCCGGGACAGGACTCCAGACAACTCTCTCTGCCCGCGTGGTCTGGGTGGCCGTGACCCCAATTCCGGCTCCAGATGCAGCCACGTGACCTGGTTGAGGCCAATCGGAGATCGCTATCGATTGGCAACCGTGATTGGCTCTGGGGTAGGCAGGGTGACCCAAACTGGCCAATCAGAGGCTGCCCTGAAAGATGGCGACGGAGGGGCCTGCTTTACCCTGGTTGCAGAGCTGACAGGAGTCTGGGACCGCTGGGGCAGTCCCTTCGGACAGGCTGTCTGAGACCAAAGCCCCTTCCTGCCAAGGGGGAGCTGAGAGATGGAGGGAGACTCCTGAGCTCATCCACAGAAACCCTGGTTCCAGCCGTACCTGGCGCTAGCTCTGCACCCTGGAGTTTTTCCTCCTATGTTGCAATACATTTTGTCCCTCTCGAATGAGGTTTCTGTCCCTTGTGATAAAATAATGTCTGCTCAGTCACTCACCCCACAAGTCCCCTTTGGCAACACAAACTATGTGACGAACATCCAACTGAGAAGAACCTGCCTGTTTAGCGGCTCCTGCTATGAAAAGCAGAACTCACATTCCCTGAGCACCTGCCATGCAGGAGGCCCTGTGCCAAGCCCTTTACCTGCATTATCTCATCCCAGCGTTCCAACAACCCCGGCTTTGATTCCTGTCTCGGTCACAGCCTAGCTGTGTGACCATGACCAAGTGTCTTAAGCTCTCTGAACCTCACTTCTTTCATTTGTAAAATGCGTCCACTTCATAGGAAGCAGGGGACATCGCTACTATTTTTTTCCCTGCCTGCCCCAAGGCCCCACGCATACCTT